AGGCCGCTCGAAAGTGCCACAACAGCGCGCGTGGGGGAATCTCTCGCTATATATACGCGCGGGGCAGGTTTTCCCCCCTGACCTATGCTAATAGCACTGGAGCTGATGCGCGCCGGGAAGCTTGGGCGTTTGAAACCTTAAACCGATCTGCTTTCCCCTCCTCACACCTTTTCCCTCCTGACGAAGGGGACTTCCGAAGGTGCCCCGGCCTCCCCCCTCCCCACCCTCCCTCCCTCTCTCGCGCGCGCCTAATCGGCTTCCAATTTAGCCTTGGAAACACGCCTCTCCCTCCCTCCCTCTCCCCCAACCCGAGCTGTTGTCGGGGGTGCGGGAAAGGATGCCGTCGCTCGCTCCCGTCCGCCTGGTCCCTTTTGATTTTGGAGCTTCTCGCCGCGGATGAATCGCGAGCTGCAGGAGCCCCGTTTGGCGAAGGTGGGGAGGGGGGAGGAGGACCCTGGAAGCTTGCCGCGCATTACGTGGACAGGTGCAGGGAAAGGTAAGAAGGAGAAAGGGCGTTACCGGAGGGTTAGGCCTGCTCAGACACACATGAAAAGAGGGAACGGGGGTGGGGGGGGAAGGAATAAAGCAAAAAGATCTAACAGGTCGACTCCTCGATTTTTCAGAACACTCATAAAAGTGTTACATGTATTATCCTTGCCTTTTATCTTATTACGTTTCCCTCCCCTCCAAAAAGAGAGGGTTTTTTTGTGTTTTTTTCCCAAGCGAATTGGCATAGTCAGTCGGGGCTTCCCCCTTCCATCAAGGGCACCGTTCTTTTCTTCTTGGTTTAACGGAGGCACTACGAGCAGGGGCGTTGTTCTGCTGTGCCTCTGTATAGGGTTTAACAATATTAGACGTTAGCGATACAAAGAGACCAAGAGAGAAACTAAGGAATGCTCGGGAAGCTTTCAAGAGTTTGACAGGGCCCAGCAAGAAAGATAGCAAGGGGGGGGGGGGAGAACCACTGTAGGTTCTGACTAACCATAAATGTCTAACCATGAATGTCCTCATTTTCATCAGGGACAAATAATATTCCTTTGTTTGTCCTGGCATCAGTGTCTCTGCTAGGAAGCTGGTTCACAGTGGAAAGATTTCTGACTTTTTTTGCCAATCTATGTGGAATCTTGCAAAGAAATATTACGGCCACCAAGATTTCAGGTAGCTCCTGGACCAGACATGAATGTACGCATAGTCCTCAATAAGGACCTGGCATTATGTATCCATAATGCGCCAATGGATCAAGTTTGATCTGGTGCTTCACATGATGAAGTAGGAGGGGGGAAATCGGGTCTTGCCTTAGGCACCCAAGCCAACTGAGTGACCTTGATTCTTTCTCAGCCTAGGAAGAAAGATAGAAAGCTGTGTGGACTTGTCCACGTAGTTGCCAGGAATCAAGACTGAGTCAGGGAAAAACAACTGAATTTTCACCACTCTCCTATTATTACTGAGGAGGGGATGTCCAACCTTGACTAAACTATGCCTAACTCAATTATCCCAATTTTCTGGATTCCTGGATGGTGGGAACTCAGCCCATGTTGAGTTAGCAGGATAAGCATCCAGAGCATGATCACATATGATCTAAAACAATGCAAAAGGAGTTCCTCTCCCTTCAGCTGCACACACATTTCTCTTACTACACAATTGGTGTGCCGTTTTCTTTACTCTGCACTCCACATAAGAAGGAAAGGTAGAACCTGGCCGTTTGTTTTTGCATTTATCCCTCAGGACCCAGGACTGAGTGCACATATGCTACTTAAAGGGGAATTCTAAGCATGTTTACTTAGAAGTAAGTCTCATTGAGCTCAAGGGGCTTATTATTAAGGCTCCAGCCTCACCGCTCTTCATGTTGAAAAAGATAATGGTAA